GACAGGATGCCAGGACCTGTGTGCTTCAGGATGAAGTTCTCATCATCAAACTTCTCCCCATAGATGGACTTGCCACCAGTACCATTATGGCGTGTGAAGTCTCCACCCTGAAGAAAATGATAGGAATTTGACTCTGGGAAACAGCTGAAAAGTACCTACCTTGCAAGGCTCAAGTAGGTCAGAAAACAAATAATGCTGAAAAATTTGGGCTTCATCTCTTGATTAAGGACTACATTAAAAAAATCAATAAATGTCATACCTGGCACATAAACCCAGGAATGATTCTGTGAAAGCAGGAACCCTTGTAACCAAATCCTTTCTCCCCAGTACTCAGAGCACGGAAGTTTTCTGTTGAGGGGGAAGCATACATATTATACACACTGAAACTGTTAAAATAAACTACCCATGTTAAAAAAACAAACAATAAACCAACCTGCTGTCTTTGGGACTTTATCTGCAAACAGCTGTAAAAGAAAATTACAGTTAATTAACATCTGCTTACATTTAGCTGCTCAGTACCCAGGTCAACAAAAATCTTGGGAACAGCAAGTACTAGCGCATGAGTAATGTAGTAAATAAGGTGTCATTTTAACCATTCCTATGAAAAGGCTATTACCTCTATCTCTAAATATTGTGGGAAACAAACTATCCAAACGCAACAGAGTCATGAAAATTCACATACATTTTTACAGTTATGGGGCATCTAGCATCTTTCAGGTAATAAATTTTCACCTCCATTCTCGCCAAAAGACCCCCAAACCTCAGCCTCTATCTCATTTCCGGTTAAGTCCTAGGTCTAACTCGATATATGGAACCTGGCCAGCAGCACCAGGCACAGGCTATTTCCACTCAGGCAGGTGTTACTAGCTGATCAAACTAGGGCTTAGCTTCATCAGAACTACTCAGTGCCTATTTTGTACCAATAACCGTGGATAATGGGCAACAAGCAAGCCTTCAGTTTCCAAAAACTATGAGCTTGCTGGACCACACCAGAAGGTTGACTTCTGGTTCAAATGACCCATCAACACGCAAACCTGCTGCACGCCTCGAACGCGGGCTGCCCCTGGCAAGCTCGCCCGTGCACACGTTGTCGGAAGAGGCTGGAGGCCGCTGGGAGGGCGGGAAGGATCTCACCTAGGGCTGACCATCAAGCAAAATTCCAGAGTCCTAACTGTAGACGCATTAGCGCAACCAATACTTTATGTAAAAATGGTATTCTGGAGTTCAAGGAACCACTCGATATACACCTGCTCGAGCAGGTTTTACGCTTTAATACGGAAAAAAAATAACCCTTTATGCCTTGTTTTTCCAGTGCTCAGGGAGAAAACAATAGTGTTCCTCTCCCATATTGCACGTTTCCTGAGCAAGGTCTCCATGAAACGCAATGCCTTTTGTGTCCAGGTCGTTTCCGATCGGGCCACCGCCTTCCCGAGCACAGTGCCCCGTACCGCGATCCGGCGGATTCGAACCCTCGAAAGCCTAGGAAGCGAAGTCGGACGCCTTTGTGCGACCGGGGGGGGGGGGGGGGAGTTACCGGCGGCCTAAGGGGCGAGGACTCGCAGCACACGCTCCAGGCGCGCACGTGACCGCCTCTGCAGACCAGGAAGCAGCGGCCCGCACGTGCTACGACGGGTGGGCGCGAGCCGGTCCAGTGGCCGCTGGGGAGGAGGCAGTCCCGCTCCGCCCCGTGCCTTTGTCTGCCCGCCATTCCCAGCCTCCACCCCGAGCCTCGCCCGCCTTCTTAAAATGGCCACTTTTCAGGAAATGGCGCCGTGGCCACCCCCGCCCACCGGCCGCACCCGCGCTCTCCCTCAGCCCTCCAGCGGCCAGGGACGCCACCGCTGCTGTTCACTGGGGTCTCCATGGCCCTACAGGTGGGCACCTGGCCTCGCTTCCCCCGCGTAGTTCTCACCTCGAAGGAGACGCGACCTAAAGGTTCGCCATCAGCGGTGATGTCGAAGTACACGACAGGATTGACCATGGCTGGGGCAAGCGTAAAAACAACTATACTGCTGAGGCGACGGCGTCTGCAAAGCAGTATGAGCGTCGCAGGCTCCTCGCTTTTATAGGCAATCAGGCTCCGCCCACAGGTCCCTCGCGCGCCCGGGTATCGACCAATCGTAAACACGCTTTGGTTGGAGTGATGGCCCTACTGAGCTATCACCAGAGACCTCTGTGCCAGTGGGTCTGGAGGGGGTGGGACTTTGGCGCATGACGGACAGAAGGCAGGTTCCCGCCCGCGGGCCGCGTCGCGGCTCCTGCGGCAGGGGCGGGGGAGGTGGTCCGCCTGCAAAGGAAGGCGGAGTGGCTACCGAGTCCTCGCGCTGGCCGAGCGCGGGAGTGGCCCAGTGGCCAGAATCCCGGCACGCTGCCTGGACCCCGCCCCGGCCTGGAGGGCCCCTCTCCCCATTGCATAGAACGGGCAACTGAGGGGATCGTAGGCCTCAAGGTTGCGCTTCCCTCCAAGGTCAAAGCAGATGCTCCTTCCTGGGACACAAGAACCCATGCGTCCCCGAGCTTGAGCGGATGATGGGTGGTGCCGGTTCCTGTAACGGAAAGAGCCAGCTTCGCGTTCTCTCGACGTAGACCGAGGCCTAGCAACGTGGTGGCGAAACCCCAGCCCGGGTTCTTAGGAAACCGGAGCATTAGGCGTTATGGTCCTTTGCGGGTATGGCTCAGCCCAGCCTTCCTAGGAGGTGAGGTTGCCTTTGCGCATCACCATTTTCTCAACTCGCAGGCAAGGCGTAAATACCCGGATCTGAAGTTATAAAATCCTTTTAAAGTGCCTTGTTTTCTGGAAATACACTTAGCTTACATTTTCTCCAGGAGAACGAACACATTAAAAAATAAAGCATTGTGAATGTTCTTGGAGTTCTGTATTTTAATCCTCTCCTCTAGGGTAGAATTGTTTTCTAATATCTAATGAGAGACAGAGCAGCAGTTAAAAAGCAAATACTTTTTTTTTTTAAAATTTAGTTTGTTTATTTTTCATTTCAATGAACATCTACAGAGATTTTGGAATTCCATTCATTGTTGCACCCTTCTCCCCGCACACACCCCTCCCCTGTCCCCCCTTTGCTCCTCTCCTTGAAAAGCAAAAGAAAAACTCCCTCATTGGTACACAATTCCCCCCCCCCGCACCTCCCCACCCCACCCCTACCCCCAAATATAATCCACTCTGCAACCCTCATTGCATACTCCTACGATAAAAATAATGCCCTAAAATATAATACTTTTAGACTATTCTCTCCCCCATAGACTTCAATGCCGTAAACATATTTCATCCAGTTTTTCTCAGTCTTACCCCCACCCCAATGCCAGCCTCATTCTACAACAGTGGCACCATATAGCATTTGTCCCTTTGTGATTGAGATACCTCACTCAGCATAATGTCCTCCAGGGTCACCCATTTTGAATAATATTGCATGAGTTCCTTGTTTTTCAATGCAGCATAGTATTCCATTGTGCGAATATACCACAGCTTCTCTACCCATTCGTTTGTTGATGGGCATTTAGGTTGTTTCCAACTCCTTGCTATTGTAAAAAAGCCGCGATAAACATGGGTATGCATATATCTACTTTGATTATCATTTATGGTCTCTTTAGGGTATATTCCCAGTAGTGGAATTGCTGGGTCAAATGGTATCTTTATTTGCAACTTTTTGAGAAAGCGCCACAATGTAAAAAGCAAATTCTTTCAGGCAAAGAAAAGAATATTTTATTATTAGAACTAAACGCACCTACAGAAAACCCTACTTAAACCCACTCTGACTCATAGTGACCCTATAGAAAAGAATAGAATTGCCCGATCGAATTTTTAAGGTAATTAATCTCTACAAAACTTCTTATCCTTCTGGCACAACTCATGGGGGGGAGGGGTTCAAACCAGTGTCTGGCATGTTATTATGATTTGTCATGAATTTATTAGAAAATAAGAAAATGTGTGGTTGTACTCTTTAAAAACCCTAAAATGGCTTGCTCAGTCCATGTGTGGTCAAGCTCCAACTGGAGACTGCCTTTTCTCCCTGATTTTCACGTCACTGTGTGCTTTTTTAACCTGGCGTAAACTGTTTAACCTCTTCTGACCCTGTAATACTTTCCCACTCTAAAACCCTCAATTTTGTTCTCCATTCTGAAAACTAGCGTGGTGAGGAACTTCTTCGAGAGAGTAAGTGAATGGATGCAAGAATAAAGAAGTAATGAAGTGATTTTTGTGGTTTCTCTATCACCTTCCATAGGTGATACTCAGCTTGAATTTTCTCCAGGAGAACGAGAAAACATTGTGAATGTTCTTGGTTTTCTGTGTTTTAATCCTCTGTTCCCTCTCCTCTAGGGTAGAATTGCTTCTGCCTTAGTGAGTTTAAATAGGGTTTTCTGTAGGTGCGTTTAGTTCTAGTAATAAAATATTACCGTCTTTGCCTAAGGGTGAAAATTCAAGCTTCTGTCACTCTAGCACAGTAATAATGAGGGTTTGGGGAGCTCTGGTGACTTCGTGGTAAGAGTTTGTGCTGTCCATGTAATGACACAGTTCAAATCCACCTGCTGCTCAGCAGGATAATGATGGGCAGTCTTCCCCTGTGTGATTTTACACACTCAGCTCTGAGTCAGTTCTGACTCAATGATACATTACAACAGTGAGGGTTTAAGTATGTAAATGGAAATCAAGAATGTAAATGTGTATAGGTTCTGTTAAGTGAAGCTAGTATTGTAGGGTTATTGAACAGGGTGCATTCGTTTGGCCCAAAGGGCCAATAGCTACGACCTCAAAGTAGTTGTTACAGGTGCCATCCAAGTCAACTTCGGCTCATAGTGAACCAGTGAACAACTGTTCTGATTCCTATCCTACACCATCCTTGTGATCTATCATGCTCATTGCAGTAGGTATTATGTCAATATCTCTCCTTGAGAGTCTTCCTCTCTTTCTGACCTTCTGCCTTTTTCAACATGATCTCTTTCTCCAAGGACTGGTTCCTCCCAGAAATATGCCCAAAGTAAGTGAGAAGTTTCACCATTTTTGCCTCTAAAATGCACTCTGGTTGCACTTCCTTCAAGACATATTTGTTTGTTTGACAATCTATGGTACATTCAATACTCTTCAACACCACAGTTAAAACCATTGGTTTTTCTTCTGTCATCCTTATCCACTGGCCAACTTTCAGATACATAGGAAGCAATTGCAAAGACCCTAGCTTGGATCCGGCACACTGCAATCATTAAATGGACATTCTTGCTCTTTAGAACTTTGGTGAGATCCTTCACAGCAGATTTCTCCAATGCAACACATCTTTTGATTTCTTGGCTTTGGTTACTATGGATGTTGATTGTAGGTTCAAGTAAAATGAAATCTTTGACAACTTTAGTCTTTTCCCCCAACTATCCTGATGTTACCTATTGGTCCAGTGGTGAAGATTTTTGTTTTCTTGATATTGAGATGTAACCAGGGTTGAAAGTTGTAGTCTTTGATCTTCAAAGCAGGTACTTCAAGTCATCTCTTTCTGCAAGCAAGATTGTATCATCTGCATACAGAGGTTGTTAATGAGTCTTTCTCTAATCTTGATGCCCCATTCTTTTTATAATAGTCCAGCTTCTTGAATTTTTTACTCAGCATACAGTTTGAATAGGTATAGAGAAAGGATACAATCTAGACACACACCTTTTCTGATTTTAAACCATGCAGTGTTCCCTTATTCTATTTGAACAGCTGGTTCTTGATCCTTGTATTGGTTTTGCCAAAACATTAAGTGTTTTAGGATTCTTCTTCTTCTAATATTAGCTATAATTTGCAAGGACTGCATAGGAACAGTCATATCTGACCATTATCAGCTCCACAGTGAGGAACTGTCCCTGTCAACAATGTCAACAACACAAGACTAATTCCCCTCACGTTAGACATGTCCCCCATGTCTTCTATTTAATCACATTTCTATCTAATCATCCCAACACTAATCTTAGTGCTTTACTGGGCCAAATAACCATTGCAATAGCTCATAGACCGCACAGAAGGGAAATCAATAGGTTGTAAATCAGATTAACAGGAGATGCAATCACTCAGTCAGGACAGCTTCTGGAATGTGTTCCTAGGTATCTTGACCTTGAGCCTCATAGCTTTAGATCATTGTTACAAACCTCTCCATCCTGCCAATTATGGCTGTCCTGCCCAGTCATCCAACAAAAAAGCAAAAGGCTCTTAGCCCTGGTTCAGTGGCATAGTCCACCCCATCTCATGACAAGTCTTGAGTTCTCCACCATGGCTGTTATGGCTGATCTCCTATAGATCTGTTCTGGCTGGTGCAAGACTCTATGGCCAGAAGGATGTGCTGCATTCTTTTGCTGGATCTGCTCAGTTTAATGGCAAGACAAGCCAATCCCCTTGTGGATAGAATAACATGCCTTATTTGCATCTTTTCACTCATCCACGTGGCAAAGCCAGTCAATGCTAGGGAAGCCATTTTGAACAATAAGCCATTAACACCACATCCATTTTCTAATAGTAGCCATCATTTGTTATGATCCATACAGTCAAATGCTTTTGACAGAAATTCAAGCTGGATTTAGAAGAGATTGTGGCACTAGGGACATCATTGCTGAAGTCAAAAGGATCTTGACTGAAAACAGAGAATCCCTCAAAGGATCAGGGGGTAAAAAAGGAGATTGCAAAATAAGACTGGCACAGCAACTGCAGCAGTGGGCTCAAACAGCAGCAGGCATGGGGACATCATAGGACCAGACAGTGTTTCTTTACTGTGAATGAAAACTGATTCAATGGTGCTTACCAATCCAAGCCAGGCTCTCTGGCCCATACTCATTGCAGTGCTCCAGGTGGTCAGGATAGGGTTCTACCACTCCTATCCTCTTTCTCTGACTGGTCCTCCTTTCCAACCCACTCTTCCTCATTCAGTTTGTCCTACTGTATGCCTTATTTGCATATTTTCACCCATCCACGTGGCAAAGCCAGTCAATGCTAGGGAAGCCATTTTGAAA